ACAAGGGCGGCAAAGCTCTCCCTTAAGAAAATAGCTATCATGTCCAAATCATGTGGCTTGGTAAATTAGAGGCACGTGCAAGGACCGTGAGTGTCCAATGTCAAAATTAATGTCCAACCTCAATTTCGGGCCTAAGGTCCAGGGGAAGCCCATTTTTTCGGACCTTGGTCCACCTCAGTTACTCAGATGGAGAGTCATTTGTCTGCAGAGGGAAGAGCTAGGTCGTCCAACCCCTAAAAAATGACAACCTAGGTCAAGGTAAGCATACATTCTCTTCTCTTCTACACCTAATCTATAATCGTTACCCTTTTTACCTTATTCTAACTTAAGTTGAGGTATACCCGTGGGGCTCTGTTTTGCAGGTGTCAGCGCGAAGGATTCTGCTCTAAGGAGGTCGTCAGAGTAGCCACATGTCCTCGAATTAATGTCAGGTATTTTTGTATTGTATTGTGAGTTGTGAAGAGGCTGAAAAATTTGACTGTGAATGGTGAAGACTTTGGATAGTTTGAGTAATGTAGAAACTAAGGGCTTGATTGTTTATGAAATAATTTGTTCAAAATGAGTTATTTTGGTTAACTATAGTTAATTTTGAACAAGGTGGATGGTTAGTTGTTAGTGGAATTTTAAGAATGTATTAAAATAATATTTAAAATAAAATGATTAAAATTGATTTGATGTAAAAGTAATAAATAAATGATTAGAAATGATAGGTAGTTAAAATTATGTGAGTGGATGAATAGTGAATTAAAGTTGATGTGATGTGTAAGAATGATTGGTTTGTATTATTTAATTATATGAATAATATTAAAGATAGTGGAGTTGAGTTAAAGTTGAGTTAGATTTTGAGTTGAAATAAAAGTGAGTGAATTCCATGTTGGGTAATGTCATGCACTTTCATGGGCTCTGATCTTGACTTGATCATCAATTGTTTTTCTGTTTTACTCTGTTGTTTATATTTGAATCAAAGGAATGTAGACTTGTAGTTTGCTGGCATTGAGTTTATATTAGGGGTGAGCGTGGGTCGGTACGGTTCGGAGATTGATAAATCTCCAGAACCGTACCAAACTTCGGAGATCCCAAAATTCGATCTCCGGAACCGTACCAAAAAGTCGGTTCGGTTCGGTTCGGAGATTTTTATTTTTCGGTTCGGTTCGGTTCGGTATTCGGGACTATTGGGACGGTTCGGTTCGGTATGGTTTGGTTCGGATCTTCGAAGATTTTTTATTTTTTTAGATTATTTTTTAATGACTACCTAGTTATATTTCACTTTTTATATGCTTTAAAAAACAACCTTCATCAATAATTCATATATTGAAGATTTTATTTTGAAATCAATTCTAAAAGTAACTCGAAATTTTAGTATTTAATTTTTATATGCTTTAATAAAACCAACATTCATCACTACTTCCTCACATTAAAGATTTTATTTTGAAATCAACTTTATAAGTAACTCTAAGTTTT